TTTTTTTACATTGGCTCTTTCTTAACTACCGATATGAGCCGTACAGGGAGTGCATTGTTTTTAATGAGTCGTCCAACTTATAAAATTATTAATGTGAGAATGAAGAGCAAATCACAACCGTCGTTGGTGCTGCAAAGTGAGAAGCAGAACCTGTGTATGGTAAAAATTAAATATGCTATATATATATATATATATAGTGTGTGTGTGTATGTGTGTATATATACACTGAGTGACCAGATTATTATGACCACCTGACGTTTGTAGGAAAATTAGCTATAATTTTGCGCTGAAGTTGCTAGAGGGCCAGACCATTATAAATAGGGAAGCAGGTTGTTTACCACGACAGTAGCAGTGATTTGTTTCTGAAGATACGGGGAAACAACGCGATTTAACAGCCTTTGAACGTGGGATGATTGTTGGCGCTCGGAGCCATGGAGCGAGTATCAGCAAAACAGCAGAATTCGTTAAATGTTCAAGAGCAGCTGTTGTTAAAGTGTTTAAAGACCGGACTGTCAGCCGAAAATCTGGGTCTGAACGTGCAAATTGTGGCCGTCAGCGACTAGTCAATGTTAGGGCAGAACGGGGGAGGGGCAAGACTGTTACAAGACAACAGAAGGGCAACAGTGCCGTGTCAGATTCCTCGCATCACCTTTCATCATCTCGTGGAGTCACGAGGCGGCCCAACTAAGTAATGATGGGGTGGTCATAATAATCTGGCCACTCAGTGTATATATATATATATGTATGTATATATATATTTACACAGTATATAGAAATATTAACACTTAGACACATCCAGTTAATTTCTTTTACATCATTTGTATAAAAGAATATTGATGAGGTGATTTAATATGCGATTAAGGAGTGAAGGAGTTAACATTGCTGTTGCTGCGTCTTCCAGATTTTGGTTGCGGCGCGGACCCCCTCTGGCCAGATTTAATTACAGAGAGGCCTGGATACGCTGCTCTCTCCGGCCCGGCAGATGCTCCAACATACTAATATAATTTGTGCTGAGCTGCAGTTAGGAGCCGGCACTGAGATAATAGATGGGGAATGGACGCAGAGGGATACACTGAGTACAGGAACTACTTTCAGCTCCAGTAAGAGCGGCCCGAGGACTGAGAACTGGGGCGTTCCATCAGCAACACAATACAACATATTATAGGGAGATTTAGAATGAAACGCAAACTTTTTATACTTTTTATACTACTTTACAGGACATGGAGCGTACAGAGAGTACACTCACCCAAGATTCACATACCTCTCACCCACGGCTCACACGAATCTTGGGTGAAAGTTGTGTGAATGTTTTGTGTCAAAACATTCATAAATAGACCCCTAAGTATCAGGGATACAATGCCAGCCGGCTACCATTCCTACCGGTTCATCAGTGCTGGGAGCCCACATAAAACTGGCGACGGCACACGTCTTTCCTTCTCTCCCGGCAGATTCACCTCTCATTCTTTTTTATTGCAACTTATTAATGGCCACCGGCTACAATATGAGAAATTAAAATGACTAGAATTAAATATTGATTTGTAATAAAGAATGAGAACACATCCCTGAATACTCATATCAGCCAATGTTCCATTTTTATTGGTCAATGTGTCTTTTACAGCAAATGTCTTTGAACGGTCCATATGACTTATTGTCCGTGATGGCCATAGGCAAGTGTTGAAAGTTTAAGCACACACAGCATACATTCTATTGTATTA